GATCTTTGGAATGGGGAGGAGGCTCAGTATTGCGATGGCTGAGTGACGAATGGTTCGACGAGAATTTCGGTGCCATAACAATGACGATCGCCTATTCGTCCGCTTACGCCCAACTACGATGCATTCCCCGAAGAGATGAATGGAGCCCTACGGGATCCGGAACGGCGATCTTGTTTAGCTGATGAGGGACTTCAATGCGCGAGTTGGGAAAGATGTGGAGTGATTTGATCGGTCGGTTTGGAGAAGCCACACGGAATGGGAATGGAAGAAAAGTAACTGGGTCTGTCCGCGCCAAGAGGTCCGAAGCGGGAAATTTCTCTAAATTTGCGAACATTTTATTTTCTCTACAAAAGTTCATCGTCTCTTTTCCCTAAAAGCTTGAATATGTGAGAATATGATCTTTAAAAATTGAAGAATTAGTCTTTTAAAAATTATATTATTCTTTCCATTCTCACGATATTCATTGATGCGATGGAAATGCATATCTGGAGAGTAAATATGGACTACTGGGACAGATGCTAGCATGGGTTCTCCCATGCATATTAATCATTTCAAATCAGCTCAGGTGTGAGGAGATGCCAATTGTTCACATTTGAATGATATCTTTAAAAATAACATTCAATTATATGTACAGACGTCTCATTTTAAATACATTTTCAGAACATGTCACATCCGACACAGTCACAAAACAGCTTTGCTTTCCTTTCTAAGTTTTGTTATATTCGAGTGACTTATACTAATTCCAAACTTTCCTTTCATTCTTAAAATAAACTTATTACTAGATTGATAGGCCCCGATTTATGACAGAAATGTGACCATTAGAGCAAGTGATTTTAACCTGAGGTTTCATGAAATGCTACTTTTCTTCGCACACAAGTAACACCTCTAGCAAAAGGGAGTATGCAAGAATTTGGATTACGGAATTTTCAGTCACTGCCCAAGGCAAATCGTTGCAGTCTTTATATGTCGATTCGTCATTTATAATGTAGGTAAGTACAGTTTGTATATGAAACTTATTACTCCGGATGTCACGTCCGACATTATGGTCAGGCTCAACTAGACTCCTGTGCTTGCCATAGTCCGACCATCACCAACTTCTTCCAGCACAAGCTATCCACAATTATACTGGCCATTGGGGTCTGATAGTCGGACTGTCAGCGACTGTATGCCAGTAATCGCTGATCGATTATGTCGTTCTTTCGGCGGACTTGTGGGACCTCGTGATAAGTACGAGGGCAAAGCGTGGGGCTGAACTGATTACCAAACACTTCCTAGAGGTCAGCAAACCCTAGATATGGGTCAACCTCAGAACGGGGCCAACAGCAAGACGCGTTGCGAAATGGGTTAGACTGGAAGCCCTCCGCGATGAGGAAACTCGTGACGAGTTGACATGGGCAACCGGCAAAAATTATTCTCTTCTACCTCATCAGACTCTTGACAGACCGACTGGAATGAATTTCGCTCTGGCATTTCGGCTGCAGCAGTGAGCGGGTTGAGCGTAGGTGATTGAGCGGGGAGCGAACGCCAAGCGGATTTTCTGGTTGACATCAGGACTTGCTATGACCTGCACCACGTCGGGCTGCTGCTGTGAAGAAGGGAGTCCATAAAGCAGTGGCCCGCGGGCAAAAAGTGGCCCTCGAGGTGCTTACAAGTGGCCCGCGAGGTCCTAACCCACAATAATTACCTTCAATAGTCTCCTACAATACTAGTGACTGCATATGGCCCGCGATGGCTGTGGGAGTGAGCTATGTGGCCCCCTAGCCGAAAAGGTTGGGCACCACTGCCATAGAGCATACATGGTGACAGGAACTGATTTTCTTCCCCCCCCCCTACATTTTCCGTATTCCAGTCCAGACTTGAATCTTAAGTTGCGGTGCTTGTATTATGTGGTGATCATTTGGTTATAGCGCTTTTACAGGGTGACAGCAACGAGAACCTATTTGAGTGAGCATTTGAGTGAGTATTTGAGCACAGCACTACAGAGTGACTCTTTACGACATTTCCACACATGCATTTCCATTTTCACAGTTGGAATTCCCTCTTTTTAACCAGCCGTGTTAAGTATGTCTACATGGGCCCTCGGGAATAAGGATACGATCTAGGGCATGATAGGAGATTCGCTATTATCTGTTTCAGCCATCAGGGAAAGTTGAGAAGCACCAAGGAGACCATTTAGTCCCTATATTGTTTTTGTTACTGAGTACAAGTAGCGTAGGTATCCAACAACCCATCAACCAAATTTCTGCTCACTCTCTCCTGTGCTATTCACGGGAGACTGCCATTCGTCAGTTGGTATTACAATTTGGCCTCCTTGTAAGTTCCCTAAATGCTACGAAAATAGGGGGCAACACATAGGTATTGCATAGCGGTGGGGGGAAGCAAGGAGAGAGCTGAAGTCAGCGCAACCCTGTGCTGGCTTCTGCATCGCTTCTTGTTAGGCCACTGAATGTCCTTCATCCCAACGTGGGACTTCAAGTAGATCGATTCCAACCTATTAAAAATAGAGGGACGAGGCAAATATGTCTCTAATCAGTTCCACCCTTATAACAAGGGAAGACAGGTAGAGTAAAAGCTATCGTGCCAGGAAGTCTCTACAGGAGAGACGGAATGACACCCACATCTTAGACACCAGGGGCCGTATTCTATTACTTTCATAAGTGCGATTTCCCTCTCAGCAAGATGCTTAGCTGGTACTTGCCCCATTCCCCATTCAAATGTATGGCCGAGGTTGAGCAATTTGCTTCACTTAAGTCTAAGGTTTTAATAGAATACTACCCCATGTTTCTTTTGGTTTTCTTCCAATGTGTCTCGATTCTCAATACTACTTGTATGACGTATTAGGCGATATTCAAGGTAGGATTGGTGTGCCCTCAGAGCACCTAGAGTATCCCATGTCCCAAGGCACTCTCAAATGGTGAGGCGTTTGAAGGCTTTTCCCAACACAGTGGATGTAGCTACTTTTTTACTATAAAAAAGGAGGGGGACTCTGCGCCGGATCCTCTCCAATTTTCTTTCATCCTGTTCCTCCTGCTGTCGTGGAATGCGGACGTCATTTTGACTCTTTCTCTCCCTCTCGCTTTACTGAAGACCAACCACCCATGGCATCATCAACCATGCAATCGTCTTGATCGTTCCATGACCTTACTTTTATGATTGCCATGTAGAAGAAAGATTGGTGTCATGGGGTCGAACCTGGAGGCTGCGAGATGATTTGGGTCCATCAAATTCATGTTCCCGCCATGGCTGACATTTATTCTGTTTTGGCCGAGTGGTAAGGGAATGTGGGCCGTTGTTTGTACTCTTGAAAGATTCACAGGGTTTACCATGGGAGACGCGAAATCAATTTCAGTAGTTTCAGACGTGAGAAGCAGAATCTTTGCTGAGCAGCAATGCTGTCCATGTTATGCACTCGTTTCGCGAACTAGACTCTTATCACGCGTCTATTTCAATCTCCAAACTCATACTACCACTGCTCGTTACTAAGAGATGCAAAATAAGAAAGGCCAGAAAAGGCCAGACAGCACTGGAGGTGCAGAAACTTTCCCTCTTTCAGATAGCCTCCATGTACTGTAAATCGAGTTATGTTCACTCCGTGCCCTCACAAGACAATACGTCTCACGCCTGTTTCTGCTCACAACGCAGCCTGCAGGCTCGCAAGGCAGTGAGACGACAGGAGTGTTCCCCTTCCTTTTTGCTTCTTCCTGCGCCTTCCCAAAAAAACCGACCTAATAATGCAATAAATTGGCATGCAGGTAAACATTGGGTACATTCTGGAAACTTTTTCGGAAAATATTATCACTTTTTTTGCGAAAATGCTACAAATTGATGCTTAAACATCGGGAAAATGGCATCAACCACCTGTTCTCCTGGATTTCGAAAGAATACGCATGCGCAGGGCCGCTCAGAGGTTTCCAGGGGCCCGGGGCAAAACTAAGCTGGAGACCCCTTGGGGGGCCCCCTTTGGGACCCCTTGATACATGGGGCCCGGGGCAGATTGCCCCAATTGCCGCCCCACCCCCCCCCCCCCCCCCCCCCCCCCCCCCCCCCCCCCCGCCCCCCCCCCNNTTCCCCCCCCCCCCCCCCCCCCCCCCCCCCCCCCCCCTCTGGGCGGCTCTGTGCATGCGTACCACTCAGTCCGGTTCGGGCTGCCATATCACCGACCAGAGTTGCTAGTTATCTTCCAACAACTACGTAATCCTTGCTGACGCATGAAGAGAGGTTCAATGTATCAGTGTTAATCGAGTTTCTAGCTGAACTCATGAAATGGTTGACCTGATTGTTGTACTATCCGCCCACTTTTCTGTCTTCACTTGCCGCATCTTCTCCCCGTTTGTCACAGTCATTGAATGAAACCCACTACTGGATTGGGCTAGTCCGTCTTGCGGCGATCCCTCACGTCAGCCAATGGGAAGCCTAAAACGCGAGGGTTTCAGGCTTCTCATTGGCTCCCATCGTAGGACCGGGGCCAGGGTGGGATTGTGACCCGACAACAGTCTGGTTCGAACGCAAGCTGTCCTTGTCATTCATATTCGGAGCAAATGGCGCGTACTATTCTTTAGGTAGACTCTGCGTCAGTGCATCGTCCTAGCTAAACTTCGACCAACAGACTATAGCCAAATATTGCTGGTAAATACATTTACTTTTGGTCGGCCTGCACCGTCGTGAGTCGTGAGATGGTGAATGAAACCGAGAACTAGATCCGTTCTTTCCTACAATTCAGGCTAATGGTCACATCAGGCCTTTCACATGGTTGCTTAGTAGTAGCTGCCAGTTTGATCACCCCCATGATGTATCCAGCCATGTAGGAAAGGTCCTACCCTAAGTAACAAATAAGCGTGGTTGGAACCACTAAGATCTCTCTTGGGGCCAGGGACTAGTCAAAGGGGGGAGGGAGGAGATTCAGGCCCGAACGTTCTCCCCCTGATCTATGCCTTTGTAAGAGGGATTAACGTAAAGTTGAACTCGGAACTGCTAGGTTGGCATGGGCGGATGGTGACAAAATGGATGTGGTTTGAACCCCAAACCCCCCCATGTGCCTGTGGCCCAAAAGAGAGATCCTTTTGGCACTCCATGTGTTATCCTTTTTTATGAGCCTAAATATGAAAACTCTATCGGTTGTTTATATTCAACAAAATATTCTCTGTCTGACAAATAGTTAATGAACCAATGCCATTTATACCTTCCTATAACCCATATTGCATTTCATAGAAAAATTGTGTTTTATCCAGGAAATTTTGATTCCATCATGTGCCACTCTATCCAGCACATTGTTGATAATGGGCAAAACTGATTTAGGTGTATAGTTTTAAAAGACTTTTATTCATCATCTTTGTATATTGGTGTGACCCTGATGGTCTTCAGGGTCTTTGGGAACTAGCCAGTTGATATAGATAGATTACATATATATGCCAGTGGCAGTATCACAAACAGATGCAAGGCAGGGGTTTGTCTGCCACAATTGGAAAATAGATTTTTGGATGCTGTATATGGGTAGGGGGAAGGAAGTCTTGGGCAGGTACTTAGCTGCTTGCACATTCACAGGGTATGGCAAAAAATACTTTTTACTTGTATAATTGCTCTCAGTGGAGTTCCTTTCATAAGACCTTTCCTTATATATATATATATAAGTATATATATATATCTTATATATATACTTATATAAGATATATATAAGGAAATATCTCTCTCTCTCTCTATATATATATATATAGAGAGAGAGAGAGAGAGACATGTTTCCAACCAATTTTTGAAAGTTATTCCAAATAGATATTACCAAAACAAGGCCATATACAATTATTTTTAAAAGTAAAAAGTTGAAAATTGACAGGGAACTCTAATCTCTTCTGAGTGCCTTGTACTCAGTTCTGAATCCTGCCTCAATCTCCAACAAAGACCAAGGAAAATCGAAAAAAACTTTGAACAAACTCTATGCTATCCAATCTTTGATTGGATTGGATTGTCATTTATTGAAATTAAACTTTTCAAAACCATCTGCACAAGAAGGCAAGCCTAAAAATGAGTTTCAGTGAGAGAGATGATATTGGATGTGGCCTTAATGATATGCAAGCAGAACACTCAGGCATGTCTGCTTCTCTGCTACCTGCTTGATCATCTTGTCCATTTTCATTATCCAAATGCCTTTCAATAATTCTTCTAACCTTTGTCTTGCAACCATTAATTTAAAAGAAATTTTGGGGAGATATGGGGAACATATACATCTTTCAACAGTGAAATTTTCATTAAAATAGCTCAAATGGGAACAGGGATATTTTGAAGGAAAGTTTTTGGGTGTTTTGTGCCATCTAATTTATTTAGACACTTGTGACTGACCGAGTGACTGATGCTATTTCTAACCATGTTCTAGATATGGTAAAAACCTGAAACTTGATACATAAGTACATATTGGGATGCTGAGTTAAGAAAATGCAGACTTTGGAGGTAAATGCCCTGGTGGCACACATTTGGGGGGTGAGGGGGAGATGTTTTCAAATACTTTTTTTGCATCAGTCAAACTGAGAGACATGGAAACCTAAAACTTTCAATGAATGTAACTTCTGAGACACTGAGTTCGGGAAAAAAGTCAATTTTCTTGTAGATCCTGATAGATTTCTGGAGGCATATTTTTTGGGGGTGGTCTTCAAATAATTTTTTTTTGTCCTAGCAAATTGGGCAGAAATAGAAAGGTTAAACTTGACATACATAATTGACATGATGCTGAGTTCAGAAAAAATCAACTTTTGTGGTGCATTCCCTCAGGGCACAGCTTTTGGGTGGGTTGGCTTTTCCAAATATATATTTGCACTAGTGAAAAGGGCAAATGGATAAGACTGAAACTATTATGGCATGTAGTTTTTCGAGTACTGATTTCAGTAAAAATGTTATTTTTTTAGGTAAAACCCTTCAGGGCACATTTTTTGCACTAGATGCATTTTCTAGAATCATTTTTGATCCAATGAAACAGAGAACAGTAGAAAGTTGAAACTTGGAGCAGAAGTACCTATGGGATTGCTGAGTATAGAAAATATCCTACTTTTGAAATATGTCCCCTGGAATGGTTTATAAGAGGGAAGTATTTCAAGATTTGTTTTCCACTTGGATGAAAAGAGAAACATAAAGAGATTTAAAGTTAGGCACACAAGAAATCATTGGAGTAATGATTTAGATTAAAACTTCAGAAATTTTCTGCCTCTTTAAAAATGAATTAATGAATTAATCACTGACCTAGATAATAGAGCATTGAAGGTGTGACCATAGGGAGTTTGTTTGCCTGAAGGGCAAACAACGAGTATATAGGATACTAATGAGTTTGTTTGCCTGAAGGGCAAACAAACTCGTTAGTATCCTATATGTCTGCTGGTATCATTGTTCACCCCCTCCTCCTACGTACATCTTTTGGAAGTTCAATTTCCCTTATTCCCTCTATCTCATTCAAGAAGTAAGATTGATGGGTTTGAATAGACTGCAGTATCTATTGATGTGATAACTGGTTTCAGGTTCAGTTAACTTGGTTTTAATAATAATCACTCAACCTAGCTTATTATTAAGCATATGCAGGAAAGTATGCTGTAAAATGTTAGCAAAGACATCTGATGTTTCATTCAATGATTAGCATAGCATTACAAGCTGGTAGTTTGAAAAACAAGCTGGAGAATTCATTTGCATTTGACATTTTTATGTGGATTCCAAGACATTGTGTGGATCCGGCCAGACAAGATGTTGATTTATAATTCTCTGAGCCTGTTGGAGCAATTTAGCAAAATACTCAAGACTCCCAGTCTTGTGTGCTTTACAATAGTAGAACAATTATGGATTTTTGATTGAAAACTTTCTTCAGGATTTTCTCCTGTAGCAGAATCTCCAGCAAATTTCCTGTACAAAATTTTGGAAGTATTTTAGCTTTCATGGGGGATATAGCTCACTAACTTTGAGGAAGTAGTTTCTTTTGCATTTGAATGTAAACTTTTGAAAAACCAGTGGCAATTATCCCTATTCTTGCCTGCCATATTAGGGTACCCTACACCACCCAGGAATTCACTTGCCCCAGGCCTCGCAACTTCTTAATCCGGCCCAGGATGTATGACACCATTGGCAGGTTTTCTATCTGTTGGTGCCAATTGCCAAAGAAGACTGTGCAGAACAAAGAAAAAGATATTTAAAAAAATGTGAATGGGCTTTACAACTGATTCTCAACAACAATAAGAAAAAATTAAGGCTGTCCTGATGCATCCATCGATGAATGGATGTCATCTTTGATAGTTGGAGGCATGGTAGGTTTCGTTACTCCCTGTGAAGGTCACACCCTGCACACACCGATCACAAACACGAGATTATGGAAGACGGATAGAGGTCTGCGCTCCGATCGAGGCAAGAAACGATGGAAGACAAACTTCCGCCTGATCAGGGGAGAAAAGATTGAATCCTTCAGTGCATCCCCCTCCTGATGCATCAATACACTATCAATAGTTCAGGTCGATGCATCGAGGTTTTGAAAACTGCTATCGTGCCAGCCCTAATAAAAATCTATCCATATTATTTGCAGCTGTTGTGAAGGATGTTCATGGCCTCACTGGTAAATAGTTCCAATGTGTCAGAAGCTAGGAGCTCAGGATTTTCTCATTGCTTTCATTTGCTTTCAGTAACATCTTCAAAAGTAGGTAAAGAAGGGAAAGAAATAGTGAGATAAAGGGCAGGGTAGTAAATTTCATTTACTACCTCCCCATTCTATATCAGGTAGCTGTCTTATGAATTTAGTGATATGTGTTTAACCACATTGGAGTTTCTATTTCAACAATTGGACATTAGCAACAAAAGTACCTGCAAAATTGATGTCTCCAATAGACCTAGTTGGTATATTTGCATTTACTGTATTATTTTATTCATTATATATTTACCATACATACGTTTTTTTGTAGTTACTTTCATAAGTTTATTCTTTCCCCAGGTTTTCCTTGAAATCTGTAAGGTCATGAGAACCAATGCAGAGGTAGTAAAAAGTGCACTCCGTCTGGTGCCAAATGGGTTACTTGTGCGTGACAACTCTGGGGAGTTTCTGCAGGAGGAGTTCCATAAACTGTGGTCTATGGGCTCTATGTGTGATGCCATGCTTGTTGGCCATGATGGGTTTGTTAAATGCCATCGATTTATGCTTGAGGCTGCTTCTCCATTTGTTCAAGTAAGTCTTTCATGCTCCAGCCCTATTTGGAGCTTATTTTATCTCTGCAGACTGTATTCAGGTTCAGGGACTAGGCACCAAATTAGACATTCTTTGGGGGTGACAGTAGGAACACAGCCTGCACTTTTTGAACATTTTATTTATTTTATATTTATACAGTGTGTACATAAAAGATTAATAGAACTTTAAACTTTAATAAATCATGAACAGATGAATGTACATAAATATGGTTTCAGCAAACAAAAGCTTGATATTTCTAGCTTTATTACATGCATTTCAAATTTTAAAATAAATTGTTAAAACTATTTTTCAACTTGTCAGAAGTGAAATGGCGACTCCACAAGAGAAGGCAAGTGCGTGTTTTGGTTTGCAGAGTTGAAGTCAGTCACACTGGTGCAGCACAAGTTCAGAACTGTTTATAGCAAGGATACTCCTATGAGAAAAGAGCTCCTGTAGGATTTCAATGTTGGATGCCAATGTTGAACATGTATGGGAAGCCTTTGAGTGCAGCCCAAGATGGTCTGTGCACTGTGCCAGTAGAGATTTGCAGGTGTCACCTGAGCAGCACACTTCCTGTGCCCTTAAATTGCTTCATCTATTGGTATACTGAGTCACAGACAAGAGGATCCTATTATTTATTATTCAATCTGAAAATCTTTTTTTGGTTGTGATTCATTCTCAGTCTCCAAACTCCCTAATCCTTGTGGGGCAATGCCTCATCAATTTCGTTTAGGAAGGGCATAAACCCCTTGTCCCTTGGAGCTGGCATAAATGTGCAGAGAGGGTGTATGCTTTCCTCATTTTCCCCGCAGGACTTGATCCGCAGTTGCCCCTTACAAGAAGTGACTTCTTTGACAATCCCACATCTGTCTTTCTCAACATTGCACAACTTTGTGTCCTTGTTGTATGGATGTAGTCTCTCTGATGTTCAACTTCCTGACCTTGAGGAACTCCTTGACCTGACAAAAATACTACATATTGAAACATTAGCTCATAAGCTGATGCACTTCATCTATGGGAAGAAACCTTCTGTTCATGGTGAGTGTTTGAAGTTTAGACTACAATCTCAAAAGAGTTACATTTTAAGGCAAGCTTACATGACTTACAAGACTAACTGAAATTGAGTGGTTTTATCCACATCATCAGACTTTTTGCCTGAAGTGAGATTTTCATTAGCTTTGAAAACTGAGTTCACAGTATTTCATTAGGTCACTGCAATCATACTCATCCTGTTAGATGGTTGAATAAGGTAAATGTTGCCTTTGATTTGTCAGCCAAATCAGCCAGGATGATTAATTTAGGCTAGCATAAAAGTGTATTTGTATGATTTTTTACATATTTGCATGCCTAGACTAAATTTCTCTTGACAGCATTGTTTCTTTCAATGATCATATTTACTCCCACCTCCTTTACTCAGTGAGTGTACTAGGTTAGTATAAAGTCTCTTGTATATTCGTATGGTTGTAATTTGCAAACTATGTTTTGTAGATCTGTAATATTTGATGGAAATAAAAATAAGACCATAGGGAAGAGGAATGCAGGATCAAAGGAAGTGGCCACCTGGGAGCATTACATTTTCTTAATATAACACACAACCATGCCAACTTATTCCTTGCATCCAGGAGATGAATGACCAGAGCTGTCCAGCATCATACATAATAACACAATGGCAACCACTATAGGGTGCACCAGCAATGGAACCAGTCCTTTCACCTTTCTTAACCAGATTTTGGTGTGCTTCAGTACTGTGGGGTCCTTTTCATCTACTTGTCTTATGCTGAGAAGGCTTCAGCACCTCATCAACATTACTGTTATTACATTAGTAATGTTTCACTATGGCAGTGGTTCTCAACCTTTTTAATGTTGCGACCCATCAAATCCTCCCATATTCAAGACCCACAAATTTAGAAACATTTCAGAAGAAATGCAACTGTATGACTGGACAAGAAAACAAAAGACTGAATTTTTTAAATACAAAAATGACACTTTCAATGTATTCCTCTGGGCACTGGTCATTCCGTCATTATTGCTTTCTGTTTCCTCTTCGAGGTTCATCTGATAGAACTTGACAAATTTATCCCTCAATGTTGGGCGATTCCAATTTAAATGCTGCTTTAAATTTGAAGGCTTCATGGATGCATTGATCAGCAGTTCACCACAAACTTTACTTTCTGGTTTCATGCCTTCTGACACTGTGAAACTGCACTGAAGGTATGAATCATTATGCTTCCAGATTGGTACTAGTTTAGTAGTCTCCCTGTGCTGCCTTCTAGTCTGGATTAATAGATTAGATCAGTTCTGGAAAGTCAAGCTTTAGTTATATAACCCTGTAGGTCAGTTTGGCACTCATGACTGATTTCTGTCTTCTTGATACCTCTATGTTTTATTAATTCACTTCTTTTAATTCATTTCATTCTCTTGCAACCCACCAGTTGAGAACCACTGCACTATGGTGATCCTTATGTCCAAGGGCAGCTTATTGAGTGCCATATGTACTGTCAGACATCTGTCTGACAGGGCAGACAGTGGTTTTGTACCATTCTTTATACATGGTGTATGCAAATATTGAGGGCAGTGGTGCCCCTGGTGGCTGTTCATCATGATCCTGCAGTCCTCTTCCCCATGGCCTCATTTATGTTAGCTCCAAGTACTATTGCTCTCTGATAAATGGCTTGCATGGTATAGCAGTCTGAACTTCTAATGAACTTTATGCTACCATATGTTATCATTTATTAGAATTTCAGGAAGTGGTCAATATGCTTGGTACCATAACTAATTACAACACCAGTCAGTGGCATAGCCATGAACTATTTTCAGATTATTTCTTGTGTGGCTCTCTCCAGCTTATAATATGACAAGTTAGACCAGCGAGGGTAATTGGTTAGGAGGGATGAAGAAAATTTTGATTGCCCATTTTCATACATTCTGTGGGGACTTAATTTTTCTCATTATACTACTGCATTAATTTCTTCCTGCATAATTTCTGAACAAGTGGAAGGATTGCTTTCACACCTCAGATAGATGGGTGGATGCAGAAAATCCAATGGGTGAATCTAAAGTTCTCAGGAACCAAGAGCCTAGTGATGAAATTCAGATTTTTTAGATGTGGTACTGTAGCCAGGCATATCAGAGTTTTATTTTACTGCCTTCATCAGTCTTTCCAGAACCATTAGTAAAGTTGATATTTTGGTAGGGTATGCTGTTTCAAAAATGAAATGGGGAAAGTTGTACAAAAATAGTTGCCCTAGACATATCTGATTGGAAAGAAAGTTCTTGGAATTTCATGAACAATTATTACAACCCAGTTTGCCAGTTGTTGGCCTCCAGTGCCTCCTGCAAGGCAGAGTTATCAAACTCCGAAGGACGACCGGTGCGTGGCTGGTCTTCCAGGCTTTCATTTCCTTTCTGGAAGCGACTGTACCAATCATAGGCAGTGCTCTTGGACACAGTGTCCGGGCCAAACGCGGTATTGATGTCAGCGATGGAATTGGCTGCCTTCTTCTCGATTCGGAAGTCATAAAGAAGAAGCAGGCGAACTTGCTCCTTAGTAAGAGGGTAGGGCTGGTTCATGGCTGGAGAGCACCAGGGCTGTAATAATATACGGTTGTATGCCGAAGGACACGACCTACTTATAAACACACGCAGAACATTCTAGCATGCTCTGGAAAAAAATTGTACTGGATATTCAATAAATTCCGAGAACTTTCTTTCCAATCAGATAGTTCAAACCAAGTATGGGGAAAGAGTTTCATTTAAAAATGTTCACCCAATATCACAATGAATGTTGACTAGATGAAAGCCTGCACATGCCAAGGTTGTAGGAACGCAAGAGGCTGGATAGGTGGCCTCCTATGTGAGTTAGTTCCTGTGTCCTGTCATCTCTTAATCCCCTCCTCCCTCTGGGAAGGCTAAATGTATTGAATCCTCATCTGACGGGAAGGGCGAAACGTTCACTGATTTTATAAAATATTGTACCACTGAACTATGGACTTCCATCTTTTCAATGTAATCACTCTTAACCAATACATACATCTTCCATTGCTTCGTTACAGTAAGAATTCCAGCAGCAAAATCATTCCCTAGAAGTAACATTCACTAATGCAAGGACAGTCCTTGACCCAGATAAAGAAATGAATACCTACATCTTCCATAATGCTCTGTAATAGCTGCCAAGTATTGAGAAGCAAATTCAAGTTTGCCAAATTGAAAAAGGGCTGGCCTCATCTGAGGGTGTGATGCTGCAGCAAGGTACTCCAGCTCTCATATTGCCCATGACACCACCTGGGTAACCCATGAGCATGGATGAGAATTCTACTTCACCCACCTCATAGTCCAGACATTACTCCACCTCCTCACAGATGTCCAAAATTGCTTGCATGGAAAGAGATTAGGGTGAAGGATGGGCCTTGTTTTAGCCTCTTAGTCAGTGGGTAAAAGCTAATCCTAAAGAATAGTTTGCAGATGGGATGGTGGTAGTGTTGGTGGTGCAATGGAAGCAATATAGTGAAGAAAGGTATTGGTTAAGAGGGATTAGGGATTATCTTGGAAAGGTGGAAGTGGGGTAAAGGTCCAAGGGTGGTCATATTGAGATCTATTGATGTGATGTGTTTGGTAGGTTGTTGTTGTTACTTGTGATTAGAAAGATTGAATATATTTTGCATTTTGGTGAAGTTATACGTGGTTTTCGATGGGACAGGACTTTTGACTCACCCTGTAGACATGGATAGACATCAAAGGGTAGGTAGACATAGAAAGGGTAACAAAAATTATGGGGTTTGTACTGAGCCAGTGTGGTGGTCTTCTGGTAGTTTTCTGGTTTACAGTAGAACGCCGATTATCTGAACTAATTGGGACCGGGGGTGGTTCGGATAACCGAACACTCCCACGGAAAGGTTGCGTTAAAGAAGTTAGTGCATAGAATACAATATACAGTAATAAAAAAGACGGGGGCAGTTCGGATAATCGGCGTTTTGGATAATCGGCATTCGGATAATCGGCGTTCGGATAATCGGCATTCTACTGTATTTCAGGTGAATAAGAAAGGTTCCTTCCTTTTTCACAAGGCTTTGATTGAGTGCTTGTCCTCTTCACTGAATCTCATGATGTTCTTCATAATTTTGAAATCTGGGATTCATGACATGACAAAAAACTAAGAATGGAGAAATAGGCCTTAGGCTTACAGAAAATGATAATAAAAATTCAACCTGAACCCAAAGTGCCTGTGAAAACACAGGGTAAGAAGTATCTAAACCAGTTTCTTTACTGAGACTGCTCCCAGCGCTCTATTGTGTTTAAGAGTCCTGAAGGATACCTTTGGCAAGAAGCAGTGTGCAGGTTGGTTGTTCACTGAAAAATTTGATGCTTCAATTTTGAAAGTTATTGCATTTGAATCACTGGTTGAGATTTTCTTAAACTTGGCAGAAATCTTTTGTATTTATATAAAATTTCACATTCTGAAAAATGTGAGGCACTTGAAAATAGGATAGAGATACTTAAAAAAAAAATAAAGTGGCCCCTTGCTTTTTTGGATATATGGTGTACATGGGTAAAGGATAAGTAAGGGCAAAGTCCTTCCCGTTAGAAATTTCAAACAACTAATTTTGTCCCTTTCTTGAAGCACCTCCTCTTTAACACACTCATCATTTGAGGTGTTCATGATGAGTTGTAAACTGCTTCAGAAAGTATTTCCTTGCACTGAAACTTTTTCTGCCAATTTTCAAATTTAAATTAATTTCTTTGGCTTATTTGGGTTTTTCATTGAAAGGGTTGTAATTCAAAGCTAAATCATATTACTGGGGGGTGTATATTATTTCAGGGAGAAATGGCACTTAATCATTGTTGAAGCCCTGAGAAGATTCTGAGAATATGCAAATTAGAAACCATATTTAATAGACTTCTCAGGTGAAAGCAATATATTCATTTTACCTAATTAAACTTGACTCATCAATGGAAGGTTTAGGATACTTTCAGTTCTTGTAGTTCTAAGGTAACCTAGCTATTTAAATGTCATTGTCATGCAAGTTTTTGAGTACTATATTCTGTAAATTGAGTTCATGTTGAACTTCCTTGTTATTTCCTCTCACCCTGTTCCTAGCTTTCATGTTTGTTATTGCTTTTTCAGAAGTTGAGCATTCACAACATAGAAAGTCTCACTGTTTGCAATCTCTCAAAGATACTGGTAATGACCAAGTTTTCCCTGGTCTCTATATATTGCTTACTTCTGAGTGTAGTAAGCATGTTCTTTTTGATACTTGATTCCCAGATTCTCTGCAGCAGCCAGTATCTGTGAGTGCATCAACATCTTCTGGATCATCAAATTCCAATAAGGTCAGTTGGGTAAAGAAATAGTACCCAAAAATCTAATGACCAGATTAATTCAGTGGCAACTGACTCAATGTGGAGAGAGTAGGACCTTTGTCCTGGGCTTGGATAGTAAGGGGACCAGTCTCATAAATTTTTGTGGGTTCCTTTGTTTTTTTTTTCACTCTTCAATTTTTCATTCCACAAGCATAGAAGGGGCCTGCTTGAACACAGTTGAAGAATAGACAAGATAACATGTGATCCCTCCTGGGTTTGATTGATGAATATGGGGCTAAACTTGGTCTACTTTTAGTCTGGGATCAATGCTATACACAGTGCCTGAGGGTTAAAGTAGCATGCATTTTATCCTGATATTATCCCCTTGACATCATATCTTTTCATGAAGTACTTCTTTGTTTTTCAAGTCTTCAATACTTAAACCTGTGTTAACTTGAACTAGTGCTGCTTGGCAACCATACAAGCTTCACAAACCTTGCCACTCAATTCAAACCAAACTTGTTGTCTCTGTCATAAATATAACATTTTAAATAAAATGTTAATTGAAGGATTTAAGAAAATTTTCATGATGGTGTATGGCATCAAATGATGGCAAGGAGTTAATTGACCTTTCTAGATGGATAAGGTGCTATAGGGGTTCTTGTATTGTTAAAAACCAATTCCTTCTCCCTCTAAATACTGAAAAATCCTTAGTTCTATTTTTTCCATTGAACAACTAAGTGTCAATGGTTGGATGTGAACTGAAATATAATCTATTCATATCCTATGTCAAGGTTGTCTATCAACATAATAGAGCCTATCTTTTCTGTGTAGAAAGAGGCTCTATCACGTTAGACAAGATGTCTCTAAAGCTTGACTTTCCCACCCCAAGTCTTCAATTGCATTCACACAGTAGTTGTTTAGTGTCTCTGCTTCCCTGGTCAAGGGCTGAGGAGGGAGTGAATTTGACTCAGCTCTGCTTCAGGGCCTGTGTGGATATGACATTGCTTCATTCTGGAGCTGTGAAAGCATCCCGTAACCATGCTGCTTTGTGTATAAGGCTCTTGGGTCAAACTTTATTGCTTCTATTGTTTGATAAATATACCCTAATTTCATCAATTCATGCCTGATTAATTAAGCTGCATATGATAAACTGAAATAGCCCATTTGTTTATCTACAGGGTATCCCATTTAAGTGGAAACATGGAAGAAATTTACAATTATGCTATATGCTCTAAATGTCCACCATTGTTGTTGCACTTATTAAAGCTTACTTTCCATTCATTCTGAACTTTTGTAAGACATCTGGTGCAATTTAGAACATAAAGCAAATGAATAATTTTCCCTGTTTCCTCTTAAATGGAATACCCTCTGGATGCCTATGAATTAGGAATGGTTTAACCCTTTGAGACACAAATTTTTACATCTTTGTTGGAAAGCGGCGAAAATTGTAATAGAGACTCGGTAGGGGTTAAATAGAAGAACTATGGTGCAAATAAATTAATTAAATTTTCTATTACTGAATATAGGGTGTTTACAGTTAGCAATCCCCATGGTATGAAATCAAGCAACACATTCATTTCTGATGGTACAGGTAAAAGCAGTTTTTGAGAGATGATATGCAGAGACCAACCGTACATTCAGAGCACATCCTTTTGGTTGATGTGGATCAGTTTTAGTGCTACTGAACAGAAATGTAAAAAAAATTCATCAGAAATCCTGAAAGAGGCACCAGACTCCAAAAAATTTCTTTGCTTTATATGGCTTCTCATCTGACTTTCATGCCACCTGTCACATCTCTTGCTTTGTTTACTTAAGTGGGAGATTTTCTACATGCTATAATGCTAGAAGACATTTAAAATGATTCCCAGTGAAAGCCAAGGAAAAAAAAAAAGAAGAGGGTGGTTTCCCCATGAAACCACATTTTCACAAAGGGTTAAACCATCTTTGTCTAATACCTGAGGGGCAAAATTAATAATGTCGGATAAAAGTCTATATCAGAAAATATCTGCAAATATCAAATATCAGTAAATTTTTCTGCATTATTTTGCTTATTAAACTTTTTTTCTATTATCAACAAATGTATATAGGTGAGACAGAAATGTACACTGTGTGTCTGGCCTAATGAAACCTGCTTCTGTGCATTCTTGATATAGTGGATATTCAACACAGGGTTTAAGTTAAAACTCAATCATGTCTTAGGTAAGACAATTTATTGGCCTTGGTTTTGTTCTCATATCATAGGTGATGGAGCTTGAAGGTTTTAGGTGCTCCTACTACCAAAAGCCCAACCAATCTCAGAATCAGAAAAGCATTCATGAAGCTCAGTGCCATCAGTGTACTGGGATGCACTCTCAGACAAGTGAAGCAAGAGCAAGGGAAGACAATTCCTCCACAAATTTTGAAACTATATCTTCCATTACTAGTGAATATGATTATAGGTGTCAGTGTGGCTTGGGATTCTCTCTTCCCAAAGCTTTTCTGAATCATAGGAAGAATTGTCAACTTGGGTTCATTGCCAAACTCACCTGCAAGAAGTGTGGCATGATCTTCTCATCTCTCAAGAATAAGTCAAGACACTCTTCCAAGAAGTGTTCCCTTCATTATCTCTCAAAATTTAGGCGTATGGATCGTTTCCGCTATAAAAAGCGGCTTTTGAAGCCTAGCAAAGACAGTATTCCTCCTGTTTGCAAGAATTGCTCTCATGTCAGCTTCAGTGTGAACAACTTCTTTAATCATGTCAAATCCAATAGTGCCTGTCTCATGAAACATCAATGCAAGTTTTGCCAAGAAATTCTGATTGGGAATCAGAAGAAGCACATGGCATCATGTCTTGCTCGACCAAAAATCATTGCATGCCAACATTGTGACAATACCTGTTCAACGTTGGCTGATATGTCTGCTCACATGGAAGCTCACTTTCAGTCATCCAAGACAGCACAATGTGTGTGTGGCATCTGTAGTTTCCAGTGTCAAACTATGGAATCACTCACTGAGCATCTTGTGCAGAAACATAAGATAAAACGAGAAAGTTTGAGCAAGCTTGTTGATATAGCAGAAATCGACAAGAATGGTCTCATCTGCCCAAAATGCCAAAGGGGATTTCCAGCAGGAAGCGTAACACCCTATGGCCGCCACATGTATGAATGTGCTGGTATCATGATCAAGAACTCACACCTATGTGAAGGCTGCAAAAAGTGGTTCAGAAGATCAGAACATGTCCGGAAGCATGCTGCTGGGTGCCCAAAAGTTTGTGTTTTGAGAGGACTTTTGACAGAAGAAGAAGCTGCCTCAAGAGCTTGTAGTACCTGTGCCATGACCTTCAAGCATGTGACCAGCTTGCTTAATCACAAGAGGGATCATCACAGCATACCTATACCTATTTTTCAACTTTCTGACCCATTGCAAACAGTCAAGGATGTGTGTACATTTTGTAACAGAACATTCCCACAATTCTCAATTGAGTCACACATGGCAAAATGTAATTGGCGGTATGTTCATGCTGGACTCATCACTGCAATGGAAATGGGTCATCATAGCTGCCATTCATGCAATTCTCAGTTTCCATCTGTCAAAGACTTTATTCATCATCGCATCAAACTTGGATGTGGGAAACCAGATGTCCATAGCCTAGGAAATTCCATGGGAAAAGCTGAGACAAGTTTGAATGAAGGGAACTCTTTCATGCCTTATGATGGCTCCTCTGTTGATCCCCCTGTAGTAGGCATGGACACATTGGCAATGGATACTGATGACTCTGTTTATGGACCTTCAGTCATAGATGTGAATCCTACAAGTTGGAATCCCAAATTTGAGGTAACTACAGAGGACCCTGAAATGCAAGTGGTACATGATTGTCGGGAAGGGAGATCTAAAGGAATACTTGGAGCAGAAGTCCCACTGGTATATTCTGTGAATGAAATACCTGTTGCTGAAGGTCCAAAGTTGATCTCAACCAGTTCTGCTAAGGGTACAGAAGGTTATCTTGTCTGCACAACTGCAAATGGTGACCCACTCTTTCAGGCCTACCCAAGTCATGATGTCTCTTAATTTCATCACCCTGCAGACCTCATTGCCTTGTGCTCCATCTGCTACCAGTTTAGTGTGTATTCCATGGTAGTACTTGTTGTAAACCTCTGCCCCTTGCTAAGTTTGCTGTTCTGATAGCTTTTTCCATCTAGTTTGAAATTATGAGATGAGAATGTAAAAAAAATAATGGGAATCAGATCTGGTTTTCTTTGATGAATCTTCATGCTAAACTATTGATGTACATGTACAGTATTAAGCTGGGATCGAGTTCATAGCATAAGGATAAAGTCTTGACAGCTTTGAAATGGATATAATTTCTCTGGTGAACTGAAAATCCATCACCTGTTGATGAACCTTGTATCTCCTTTTTTTTTATCCACTGAAAATGTTTGCTTGCTGAAATTTTGGTATAAAGCAAAATTCAGAATTTCCTGATCTTCTTTTTGAAGTTAGCCCATAATCAAAGTACTCAATTAATCCTTTGACTGTAAGGCTCAAAAGAGAAATTTTTAACTAGGAAAAAGTCTGCAAATGATTATCATTGTCATATAGAAATATCATTTGTCATTGTTTACAAGCCCTGGATTTATTTTTACCTGCTGTATCTTAGCAAGTTCAGAATTTCATTTTAAAAAACTCACTGCAGAGGTTTTCAATTCCACCCAAAAAAACTCCAGTCAAGGGATTAACAACCTTTCCAGATATGCAATTCCAAGGAACCCTTCTTTTGGCAAAATGAACCCCACCTCCAAATTAAAATAATTCTACAACTTATACTAAGCATATAAAAGTCTACAACAGTGGTTCTCAAACTTCCTTTCACTCCCATTGAATCTTCCTACTTTCAGGGGGGTCCTGACCCCCAGTTTGAGGACTGCTGGTCTAGAAGGGCAAAGTGACTCCAATTATAAATACCTACCACCAAGAAAAGCAGGATCTTAATTGAGGAGGGTGACTCTTCCTCCATTGGGTGAATTGATATATGTCACATTCCACAACCTGTACACCATCTGGATGTAGGTGGAAGCAGTAGGTGAATATACCACATGATGGAAGCTATCTATTCTCATGGGAATCAATGCATTAAATGTTGTACTCAATTCCCTTCCATGATTCACTTTGAAACGGTAAGCTGTTGGTGACTTTCTGAACTACAAAATTGATTTTTCCCTTACTCTGTACTGATAGAGCCCTGTGCCATTGTAGTTACTCTAAGACAGTGATGGGAAACCCTTTCAGTTTTGCATGTCAAAAAATCCAAAAACTTGACTTACTAGGGACTTACCCAGTCTCAGTGCAGATTCATACCCAGGAATTCTTATCTGCATGGGTCCACCAGTGTAAGTGGGAGGATGCCCCATTTGAAACCCAACTGAAAACGGCCATTATTTCCAGCTGTACCACAGCTAGAAATTCAAGCCCATTCCAGCCAGGAATTAGTTAGAAAATAGGCCTACATCCTGGCTGGTTTCCAGTTAAAATGAAAATAGTTTCAGAATCTGTTTTTTGCTGGAGTCCAGATTTGAGAGTAGCTGAATTATCAGTGTCAAGAGTGGTGCAAAATATACCCTCCCCCTACCTCAAGAAAAAACCTGTAGAATTTGACTGAAAACAAAATTGCCTTTAATTTTTCATCTTCATACAATGTTATGTGCAAAATGAAAGCTTTCTATTACTACTGTGTATTACCAAAAGTGGCCCTGATTCTTTTAAAGTTAGGTTAAAACAAATTTTGGAACGAATCAACATCTTTCAAGGTGTTCAACACATCTCTATATATGTAAAGAAGGAAGTTTGTCTGTCTGTCTGTTCCTTTATGCATTTGGACCCTGCAGGAGCCAGTGCAACCAAATTTTGCATGGCCTCCTCCTTCATCCAGGGGAAGGTTGAGGGCTATGTTTTGATCAAAAATTTTCACTCCCAGGGTACTTTTCCGGGGTACTGTAGTGTCTGGGATGGCATTGAGAGGAACAACTTGGTGGTGCAGTGGTAGCACACCTGACCAGTGCCCAGCCGTCCCCTGCCTTTTTTTTTTGTCCTCTCATGCCATCCAACTCTCCCCTCCTGACTATTTGCATTACAATACCTGGGGTAATCCCATTGCTGGATCACTATAGTAGGTAGTAAGTAATATTCTTTTGATCAAGTTTTCATCTAAAATATGTTCCAAAATTATAAAAACATTTTACCAAGAAGTTTTTAAACTCCAAAATAAATTTCATTATTTAAAGCATTCAAAATAAATAAAGTTAAAAAGGGAAAGGGGTCAGAGCACATTTTGCGACACCCAAGATCAGCAACTTTTATAGGTAATCACAAGGCTAATGCTCCCAAACTTGTCATGCTTGAATTATTGAAATATTGCATTTCCCTGGGCAAAACACTGGGTACTTCAGCTGGTTCCCAATATTTTTATCCCAGAACTTCAATGAAAATTGATTGTCTCCTAGTATCACATCTTCCACTTGCTCCTTCACAATTGTTTCCACAGGCTAGTAAAAATAGAGATTGGGTGAATTCCCCTCCTCTCTTTAATTCCTTTTGAGAGGTTTTGATTCCTCTTCTGGCTATCAGAACTTTCTGTGAAGATGCATTGACTCAATTACAATGGCTTCAGGGGCCTGCCATCTTCAAACCAAGTATCAATATCACCTAAGGTCTTGTCCCTGTTCTGTCACCACACTTTCACCTCTATCAAGAAAAGGGGGTTGTGAAGAAGTTGAACAAAGGTCACATCTTCAGCAATTTTCCAAGCCACTCTCATGGTTTAATGTTTGATCCATTACCATTTACTGATACTTAGAGCACCTACCTTTGGTGAATCATAATGAAAAGATGCCAAAAATACTGCATAAAATTGTCTCTGTGCCTTAACAGATATACTGGACATGGAAATGGCCTGTAATAATTTTAATTACTTGTCTGTATGATTCAATTTGCACATCATGCTCACACAGTGATAACTGTGTACATTATCCATATAGGCTTTTTGTGTTATTTGGTAAAACTTAGAGAAATCAAAGTGGTAAACTGTTTCTTTTGACCTTTATAAAGTTCATACATAACATAGTCTTTTAACCCTTTGAGGAGTGGGTTTTTTTAAACACTTAGATCACCTGTAGTGAATACATGGAGGGCAGGAGGATGTCAGCCTGTATATATATGGGCACACTCATCAAAGGGTTAAACTCTTCAGAACTATGACCAGTGTCAAGGGTGAATGAGGATGCAGTGTGGGACTCCCTTGAAACTCTGAAAGTGTTGAGCTGTACAAGATCCCCCAGCTGGAATATAAATGTATATACAGCTGTAATCCTCCTGCTTTCATATTTTAACTCTAGCTATAAACTATTTAAAACAACATTTTTGGTCCAGCTAAAAAGTTTGGAGTTGATGCCAACAAGAAGCCTACTTCATTTTCCAGCTGTTCCTCAGCTGGAGTGGCTCTGATTTACTGTGCAGTCCAGCTATTAATAAAATTTAATGTTCCAATTTTTTACATGATTTTCTGGGGAGCACTACATCTGCTTCAGGGTAAAGCAGAGTGCTAAATGCAAAGACAGCATGAAAAAATATGAGGCTTTTCACTACAAGTTATACAATTAGATTGCTAGTCACAAGTAAGAAAATGTACAATATGACAAAATGTTATGCTGACAAAACTCCAGATATTTCCCTAGATTTGCACACAGGAAGTCAAAGAGCATCAAGAAAATTAAGAAAAATTATTTCAGACCTTTGTATTTAGATCTTTACTGTCCCATTAGCATCAGAAAAATCATATTGAATCACATGAAGAAGAGGATCGTTCCATTGGGTCCAGATTCCAGAAACCTCAACCTCTTTTTTTTATAGAGTGATATAGGTGACACAAAACTGCAACAGGTCCAAGCAATTCTTACTTTATTGTATCCATCTGAATGAGTTCTACACATTTAGATTCATAATATGCAACACAAGATAAGAGAGAAAGCGATGATCACTCAGAGATCACTGCGCACTTTGAAACCAGGTCCATATGGTTCTTCTTTCAAGGATGTGAGCCCAGCCAATGGCTCAGAAGCATATCGGCCATTCCTGCAAAAGCAAGGGATTTTAAAAAGTAATCCTTGAGGCTGGCCACCATACTTAGAGGCTCATGAGACAGCTTTAACCCCTCCATTACAGTCTATTATGTATGGATGACACAAGAAATTGCATGCTTCACAGTAATCATACACATACAAGGTCTAATTTATTTATTTTTCTCCAGGCTGTGGGAAGTACATATTTTCATTCATCTGAGAGACATCTTGAAGTTTTTGGTTTATTTCCTTTGTATTGAGGTTGTCAAGGTTAAAAGTCAGTTGATAGAAAAAGAAGGCACACCTATGAAGGGTAAAATGAATCCAAACGAAGGAAACTTCATTTTTTGCAAATAAATTCATATCATCTCCACCAAGGGACCCCATGCCTTTCAATATAAAGATCCCTCCAACACCAATGGCAGAGCTTCTTTTATAACAACACTTGTGCATGGGTGACATCCAACATAACTAGAGGGAGCTACAGTGGATTGGAGGAAGATGGAGGTCAGGAATGAAAAAGCAAACCAAGAACGAAGTATAAAGGGAACATACATATATTTTTTCTTTCATGTTAGAATCTATTGTCTACTTTTATACATTTTTTGTGTATTTCTTGTGTGGAGGAAAGTCAGAAGGTTCATCGAAGAAGACTGTTAAAAACGACATTGAATAATCAGGGATTATTCAATGTTAGTTGCTAGTATTAATGAAAAGAACATTCTTTAGAATTTCTTTTCATGATAATGACTTTGAAACAGACTCAAACAGAAATGGCTTCAAATGCATATTAGAAAGGCATACTTGTTCAGGATCATTTTTGATACATTTTTTGTTACTCCTTTTCTACAAATTACCAAAATTTATGTTTTTATTTCCTAATTTCAAACAGACTCGAGAAACATAAAAAATATTATTTAATTAAATTTAATTTCACTGTTAATTCCTTCACAATTGATGCTGGAGCAACAATGAAAATATGCAACCTGGACGGAGGTCTTTGAGAGTGACCAACATCAGAGTTCAAAGGGAGTTCCAGTGATTTTTTGGTGCTGAGCTGAGGATTGTCAAATGCATTGACGTTGGTGGAGGATATTTTGAGGCACTTGCAAATCTCAGAAATAACTCCTTTTTTTTTTACAAAGATAATCCCAAATGACATGCTATTATTCAGTTAATGTTATTTCTTTTCACATCAACTGTTTAATTAATATGATTTTTTTAATAGTATAGAGACTTATGGGATGTCCTGTATACCCACGTGAAAATTTCATATAAGACCATGTATGAAATGGTCATATATTTAACCAGTCCAACATATACGGGGCATATATGACCATATACAGTGAAAACTCGTTAACTCGAACTTTTAGGGACCGGGCAAATCGTTTCGAGTTATCCGAAGTTCGAGTTATCAGGAATCGCCCCCCCCCCCCCAAAAAAAAAAACAACGAATTTGAGTTAAACGGAGCATTTAACATGGTGTCCTACGGGGTTCCACCGGGACCAAGCTTTGAACTTTGAGATAAGCGGAATTTCGACTTATCAGGATTCGAGTTAACGAGTTTTCACTGTAGTGCAATACATATATGAACATATGTCAAACCCCATATATGTTTCACATAAGTCACATAAAATCATATAAGAATGAAAATATATGACCCCATACATTTCCATATATTGGCTCATACATATGCACCATATACTGTCCATATATGCCATGTCATACCTATGTATGGTGAGATTACCTGAAACATGTCTGTATCCAAAAAGGGTCCATAATCCATCAAATATTGTATGATCATTCATATGCAAGTCACCATACTTAACTTGCAATCATCTCATTTTCAATTGTTAATAGATCAGTCAATTACTCCAAGAACACATGTTTCATGGTGTTCAAGATATGCACCCTTGTTAATGAAGGTGAAAGTTTCAATATTATAGACTTGAACCTTCACAAGTATTTTCATCAGTAGTGCCATTTCAAGACAAAACTTGGCTTACTCGTGTAGGAATGTCTTCTTCATTTTGACTGACAACTCAGAAGATAGATGGGAACAGAAACTGTATTTCTTTCTGAAATTATCCGATGAAGGAATTGTTCAATGAAGGCAAGGCACAGCATGGCATTTGCCCCCACTTTACAAAAAAAAAAAAACATTAATACAAAGGAAAGATGCATGATAACAATGTCCAGTTCCCATGCCCCCTCCCTCCTCCCACACTTTTTTCATCTGTGATACACTTATGCTACCTAGAGAGGGTAGGGCTCAGTTTGAAACCCTGACTGGAATTTTTCAGGTGGACAGAAGCTGTATATTCTGACCATTTCCAGCTGGCAAAGAGCTAAAAAAAAAGGTAGATACAGGTTGTTTTACAGCTGGAAATTTGCCATTAGAATTTTATACAGAGGACCCTCCAATTGAAATGCAGCTGAATTTACAGTTGAAATTCAGCTGCTTCTGTAGATGGACCTCCAACAAGAATAACCAACAAAACATTCTCATTCTACCAGTGTATTGCAATTAGGAACAATCTGGATCTGACTTTACTTTCCAGCTGCTACCCAGTTGGAATGGGTCTGAATTTCCAACTCCCAACTTTTGGGAAATTATAGCTGTTTCCAACAAGGATTTTCAGCTGGGGGGGTTCAATATCAAACTTTTGGCAAATTACTTTAAGGGTTATGCATACTTAATATTTCATGTAAAATACAATAGGTGCATTAAAAATAAGTTGCAGAGGCATCTGAAGGTCAATTGCCCTCATGTGTAACAACCTCATGCAGTGGCGTATTTTCTAGGGAGGGGACAGGGGAGTGTGGCTGCCCCCCCTGGCATCCCTGGGACAGGGCTTAGTGCCTCCACTCTGCCGCCCTGTCCCCCCTGACTCTTCAGCCAAAATACACCACTGACCTCATGCTTTGTTTTACTTACAACCATAAGACTTGTCTATGCATATTCACCACATATCAGACATGATGCCCTTTGCCCATCACACATAATATTGCAATGCAGGTAAAATATATTATGCACCATACAATTGTTAATATATGGGTACATATATGGTGGTATATGGCAAATATATGATCATACGCCCTGTCATACATGGAATTTTCACGTGGGTAGTTTGAAACAATACAGTGTTCCATTGCCATTGTCGTGACCCCAGCCCTGATTCAAGCAGAATCAATACTAGGACAGGACAAAAATTGTCTCTTGTAATACTTGTCTCAAAAAAAGTTAATGCTTGAAGAATTTATTTTTCTTGTACTATATAAAATTTAATGAAATTTCTTGCAGCAATTAAAATGAGAAGGGAGTGAGCTTTTCATTGCCAAAGATTGTACAAAAATCAAATCAACTCAGAAGGGAGACATGGAAAGACAAAGTTTACATGAGCAAAATTCAGACATGGAGAACCACTGCAAGCAGACAAAATAAGAGAATCCAGCAATACAAGCACTCGAAGAGCAAGTGATCCACAAGTGCACCACCAGGAGCCTCATCACTTTTGCTGGTTCTTGGGCATTACTCAGCAAAAATGCCACAGCATTCATTGAATGAAGAGAATCTTAGCAATCCATCACTCAGTCTCCTCACCTGGGGTGCCTTGAAAGTGTCTGTTAGTGATGATGTGTAAAATTCTTCTAGTCTAATTTTCACTCTTCCATATTTTGCTTCAGAAATAGTAGATTTTCATGTGGTTTTCAGCTTGATCTCTTAATCTTAGTAAAGCTTAATCTCTTTTCTTTCTTACACAAACTTTTTTTTCATGTTCAATATAATGCTAGAAAAGTCCATTATTACAGTATTAACTTTTTTTGAGACACCCTGTAGGATAACTCCTCCTAACATGCCTTTGATGAAAATATTGTTGCAAAACATAAGGAATGAGGAAGAAAATCATGAAGGAAGATAAGACTCTGTCTAGCTCCTGTTACAGGGAGCATGCATGGACATTTCACTGTATTTATTTTTTTTAAGTTACAGTCTGTTGAAACCATTCCAAGAAAAGTGAATGGGATATAACTTAGACATTTTAATCATTCACTAACAAAGGCAAGTTATTTCTCTGTAGAGCAATTTCAATTAATGCTTAATGGTGATTTGGCTCTGTATGTCAATTTCCTCTTTTCTTTTCCTGCATAGTGGAATGCCTGGTGTAGTGCTGCTAGGGTCAAATGGTATGCATCTAGGATTCTAAGAATCAGCTTATACGACCTGTCTTGTACTGGTAACAATCCTAAGTCTAAACAACACATTTATTCTTTCATACTTGTATTGTTCCATCTTAATCCTTAACAATTGGAGCTCTCTAACAAATGGTTGAGTAATGTAATATATTAATAGCTTTCTGAAGGGATAAGACTTGAATGCCTTTTATACTCAGTGGTGAGAATAGTAAGACTTCCATCACCACATCTGATGCTATATAAAGTTAACCTGTACAATCTTAGAGGTGGTATGAATTCATATGCCAAACATGTGAACATGCACAGATCTTACCTGGGACCAGGTTTTGGCTTTCTTCCACTCTTCAAGTCATCCAGGATCTCTTCCATATCCTTCACAGACAGATCTTCCTACAAAAAGATGGGTCCAAAATCAAGTCTTTCTCAACTTAACTTAGCCATGATCTTACTCACTATTGGATCAATATGTGATTGAAATTCTATGGTAATCTGACAAAATGTGATATCATTAAGTAATGATGAAGGCAACACTACTGCACAACGAAGAGTGACAGAAAGACAGAATTCATGGCCATGGCATACGAATACCCAGTTTAGAGTTCTTACATTACACCCTGGTGTTGAAAGATCTGAATAGCTAATGCAGTGCACTTGCGTTATTGCTACCAGTCATATTCTTCAGTTGCAACAGACAAAATGGTCACCTACCCAGAAGTTTTAGACAACCTCAGAATCCACTTAATGGGGGGAAACTCCATCTTCTGAAAATGCAAAAACTGAAAAAAAGGGGACTTGCATGAAACTCACATAATAGTCATCATTGATCTGAACCATTGGAGCATTGACACAAGCACCAAGGCATTCAACTTCATGGAGAGTGAAAATTTTATCTTCAGTTGTCTGGCCAACATCAATGCCCAATTTTTTCTTAATGCAATTTACTATATCATCAGAGCCACGTAACCAACAGGGGCTTGTTGTACATACTTGCAGGTGATATTTCCCAACTGGATTCCTGGAAAGAATCATATGCATCACATCATTTTAGGTGTCCTGATGAAACATTAAGACAAAATAAAAAACACAAGACACCACTCATTTACCTATTAAACATGGTGTAGAAGGTAGCGACTTCATAGATACGCATACGAGGCACAGAAAGCATCTCGCCCACTTTGTGCATGGCAGAAATAGGAAGCCATCCATGCTGTCTTTGAGCAAGGTCCAACAAAGGAATCACTGCAGCTGCTTGATGACCCAATGGGTAATTCCCAATTATTGCCTTTGCCCTCTGCAAACAGTAAACAAAAGAGCAGATGAAGCTTATAGAAAATAATTAAGGCTGAATCAATTCCTTTCAAATGAGATTGAACCCTGGCAATTCAATGAGAGTGTGAATACAGATGAACAAATTGGAAATGGAATTAGCATAGAGATGATTCGTATTGGCTGAGAACTTATATTTTGTGACTAATTTGGGACTTTTTTTCTAGTAGCCCAAATACATTTTTTCCTGTTTGGACAACATGAAGTAAGTAAGTAAGTCAAAATGAAGTAAGCCACTTTGATGCTTTAGAGCCAACTGGAGCACATATCTGAATGGAATTTGATTCAGCAGGGCAAGCTTCGCAGCCATATACATGTTAGTTCAGATACGTAGGAAGTGTATCGCAAACCCCCAAAATTCTTCAAGTATATCACAAATATGAGGAGTAAGCTTGAATGAACTGACTACATCCTGGACCAAGCCAATGAACTGATGAATGTAATTGATTCTAGACAATGCACTAAGAGTTTTCTTTCAGATGCCCTATCATCCATTATTGTTACAAGTTCCTTATTGCATGCCACACTTGCATGACATTTCCATACAATATACAAGCACATTTATTCCAATTGGTACCAGCTCACAGCAATTTTTTTTACATGATTATACATAAGATTTTGCAGGATAGCCTAAAATTGCTACCCTATGAAAACTATTCCATATCAAGCTTTCTTGCATGACAAAGCATACAAACAGTTAGAGGAGTAGCATAATCAGAGTATCAATCACCTGTGGTTTACTATTGGATCTATGCCCAATTGTCAAATCTGGCATAAGCACTGTATTTACTTGAAATATGAGGCTACAGTCTTTTAAAAAATGAAGACATCTGAAATCCATAATTCCTTCATATTTGGGTTAGCCCTTTCAGTGCCAAGCAGCCAATGTAAGGGCTTGATTAACTATATATAGTTCCGATGGTACTAAAAGGGTTAATACAGTACAACATATCAATGTACAAACTCTGCGTATGAAGCCAACTGGATGTTCCATCTAAAACCATGGAATTGCTCAAAGTCAACAGTCAAGCAGTCAACTAATGCTGACCATAGTGAAGGGAATTCAATTCCTCACCTTCAAGTTCTCTGGTGTGAATTCAAAAGGAGTGTCTGGATTGTTTTCTGGAGTATCACGGTGCTGAAACAAATGAGAATGCAAAAGCCACAAGATCAATATATGAGGATGCAGAACCTAGCAAAGATTTTCATTTACCAATAAAAAAAAGGCAAAACATATGAAAAGCACAATGAGAAGATGGTGATTCCCTGTGTCAGCTAATGTGTTTATATTATGCCCACTGTAGCCCACTGTCCCAGCAGGCATAAAAAGGGGGCCAAGTAACTAACATGTTAAAAAAAAAAAGCTATGAATTTTATTACTTTCATGGTCCTTTGCAATACTTTCCTCCCAACATAAAAAATTTGGATTTGACAGCTTTGACCTAATCCCAAATACACAAAAGCTCTGTTCCAAGTCCTGATTTGAGAACTGGAAATAACCATACAACAAATTTGCTTGGTAATTTGCCATAAGACAAATATTTTTAAATCAAGACTTTGTGGGAAGGAGTTATTAGCACAGGCAGCACTAGGACCAAGGTGCAATAAATTGCAGAGCTGAGAGATCAACATCCGAGCTGAGTAATATACCTTTGTCTCAATACCATAAATGTTTTTACAAGCAATTGCAACAATATGTGAATGGTGAGTAATATGTGTACATAGTTTTCCCTTTCTGCATTATACTTGAAGATCTAGATGGGCCCAATTTACCCTAAAGAATGACACATAAGATTTTGTTTCCTCTCAACCAATCCTTGACTCTCCACAATTTTTTAACTAAATCTAAATAATTCAACATCTTAAAACATTTATTTACTAAATATATATTTGACAATGCCAAGTTCTGAGGGGATCACTACTTCCAAGGCTTCTACACAATTATTTAAATGTTGAGATTTTTCTGCCACCTGATAAGAAAAAAGGCTAATTAAAGGTTGCAGAGAGACTACAATTACTTCACATTTTCACAGGACTTCACTAAAGATCTCAGTTGATTGAAATTCATATGGTTCACAAGTGATGCAAACACATGATCTTAGCCTAGGCCATATGTACCCAGTTCTGAGATCAAAATGTAGCAGCACAAAAAAAAGAAGAATCTAGTTGGGGAGACAAAGTTGAATACCAAATGGTACCTGACTTTAAAAAGGTACAAAAGGTCTGCATATAAAAAGGGAAGATAGAATGAAACCAAACTCTCAGTCAAAATGAGCCTCATTATAGGGAACATGACAGATCTCACATACCACAAAGAGGCTGCCTCCTACTCCATTCCGTGTTGCAGAACAATGTATAGCCCTTGAGACCTGTATGAAAATGAAAATACACTAGCTATTCATTCAAAAAATGCAGGTGGCCTAAAACTAACAGATGTCATAAACAAATACACATAGTCTAGAGCAGTGGTTCCCAGACTTCTTTGAATTGCAACCCACTTGCTGACGTACAGAAAATTTCACGACCCACCAGAATCCAGAACGAGGTATTTTTAAAGTAATTATGATGTGAAGAAAACTGATAGACCTTTTCTGCAGGGCATGCTTTATCTTTAGCAAAATGTGGATACAATTTTTTATGTGATTTTTTTATGCTGGGAAAATGTATGCAACCCACAGTTTGGGAACCGCTGGTCTAGAGAAGGTTGGAGTATATTGATGTTCCAATAAATCACTCCATGAATAGAAACATGTATGATGATGATTATGTGTTGAGTCCATGAATATGGTACAGTTACATGCATACTAATGTTTAAAAAATTGTCAACATGACAAGAATGCCATTTAATTGCAATTATTCATAATCAGCTGTGTTCAGAGCAAGCATAGTCACATATTTAAGATCAGAATGGACACAGGACAAGTAGTGGGTAGAACCACCCTAAGCTGGAAATGAATCCTTCAGTCTCTACGCTATTCTCTTCTTGAAATATTTCTTTGCATATCAATATTATGAGGATTTCAGACCCACTAAACAGCCTTGATCAATTCAAGAGATGGAAAAAGTCACTTCCTTGCAATCTTCTGTAAGAGATATTTCAAATGTTTTATTGAATTGCAACCACTGAAGTTTCCAGAGCAAAAGAGTGAAATCTGTCACATGGCAAGGTGCATGACCAGATTAGAAACTTGATATCACACCTTAAGGTTGTTAAACATGCTGCTCTTGAATAAACATCATGCAGAGATATATGTTCTTCCCTACAGTCTCCATAGATGAGCATGGTCCATATGATATGGACATCTATTTTGATTACTTCAATTTGTCAGTAAAAATTTTTTTAAACAGTGTATGCTACATAAATCTGAGTCAACATGTGCAGAGCATATATATATTGTATGCAAGTAGACCTTTCCATGCAAGTTGAACTTGCATAAAATATATCGTGATACTTGAAACTGTCAGACTTTCCACATGCATGTTAGCGTGCAAGCTTTCTTTCTTATGCAAATTAACCCACAGAATGGACTTAAGTGCAAGTTCAAGAGGCATATCTAGACCCCTAAAGATATACAATTACATTATTTTCATCAAGAATACAAGCAGCATGCCTGACCTTAAGAAAATGATGAATGGGATGTCTTCATCCTTCCACTCTCACAGGCAGCCATTCATCTCACCTTACAGTGCGATACATGTGAGAGTGAACATTCTCATTCTTCAACAATTATTCATAATTGTTGATCAACCGACCAAGTGGTTTTGCCTGATTAATCTGCCTTTAAATTCATGATAATAGGCAAGAAAGCCAAATTCAATGATTACCTGCTGGAGCTTCACGTTTGAAGGTCGAAAGCATATTATTTTGAAAAAAAAACTACCACTTTGCTACAAAGTCAAGGAAATGAGCACCAGGAGTGGGCAAGGATACTTGCACTGCAGTTGTTTCAGTAAAAGCAAAAACAAAAGATGCAAGTGCATAGCAATAATACCAAGTGCAACTTCTGATGAAATAGGTCATTGATGTGTTCCAACAAATTAATTGGAATAAAAAAAGGTGTGCTTGACAGAAAGGCTTGAATGTAGGCATTGACATATTTGTTGCAGATTCTTTAATTTTTTACTATTTGGCATCATGCAGTTACTTCATTTTATTCATCTATGTGATCAACTAATTAATTTTGTAGTTTTTGACATGTTTCTTTGAAAATAAAGCAAGAGCCAGTAGCTGAAGGCATACAGTAATTATTCTGGCTGAGGTGAAGTGCTTCTCTGAACTTGCACAAAAAGGTGCATTCAGGTTAACATGAACAAAGATTTCCCCATGCAATTTCAACCTGCATGCTGTGATGGACTGTTCAAGTTGACCCAGGATGACTTGGCCATGCAAGTTTAACTTGGATGGCAGGGTCAACTTGCATACAACATAAACATGTGTTCATACAAAGTGTCTAAAAACAATTCATGACCCCAAGATTTTATTTATCTTGAAATATGTCACACTGAAATGAAAATTTACTCAAGGTGCTAAAAAAAAAAAAATAGAGAAACGTTGAGCTTTCTCTTGCTAAAAGCCACATGAAAATCAGCCAATTTTGAAGCAAGATATTGAAAGGCAAAATGAAAACTGGTAAAACTCAGTGACATTGGCCCACTATTACTCACTGTCTCATTGAGAATCAAGCAATCAAACATGCTAGTGATCCATTAGTTTCTATCAGGCCATGAAATTCTGCTCTGCACTGCTGCTTGTTGTGCTCTCATAAAAATTTTTTCCTTATCTATTCTTTTTCTTATTTTTTGCTTGTCACTTCCCCCCTCCCCATCATAGTATGGGGCCTGTACATCCTTTTCTTTCCAAAAGCACAGAAAATGAAAAATTAGTATTTTGTTTTTTAGCAAAAAAAATTTCATACTTCATAAAACTTTATTCCTATAAGCAAGTTATTCTAACAACTGTATTCCTTTATGAGATGTTTTACCCAATGCATAGTATGATTGAAAAAGCAGGACTGTGCAAAGGTATGCTATTTCCCCTTTAAATTCCATACCCAAGTACACTGTACGATCCTTCCTTTGTCCCACACCCAAGTATACTCATTTTACCTCTATCACTAGAAAGTATAGAATCTCGTGGCAAGCAAAAGACTGCGAGTTTTTGGGCAATTTTCAGCACAGCTGTCAGGACTCCTGAAAGACTCAGGATGAGAGTGGGCACACAGCTTAGGAAACTTGAAATTGAAAGGGATAAGCAGTATTCTGTTAAATGGAGGCAATTATAAATCAATTCCAATGTAGAGGCTATTTTGCCTACCATAGGCCTGGTTGAGCCAATAGTCTTGGAAGGAAGTCTTGTCAAATGTCTCAAAATATCCATTTCTCAGCAGGCTAGGTCTCCAGAAGTCTGTACCAAGACAGATTGCTCCTAGGCCTGAAGCAAAGCAGAACTCTTTTTTTTTTGTTCCTTTGATGAAAAAATAACCTGGAAAAAATATAAACACAACCATGACAGAAAGAAGCCTCTTGCCTAATGTTGGATAGGTTCAGACTGGACTACAAAGGGCTAAAACTACATATGATTTTGGAAAACAAGGATTATTAAAAATATTTATACATGGGAAAAATGTTATATGCTGAGCAGAGATCAATAGTCTCTCAAATAGAATCATCCAACCAGTAGGTATGCTGACAGTTGATACACAAATAAGGCAATCAGTAATTTCATGTCTTAGTTTCGCTTCAGCTTCATGTTATCTCCAGTTAATTGTAACTGAAGAAAAGCTGTACCTAAACTGGCTACTCTTTATAACTTTTTCAGTTTAATTTAGATCCAGTTAAGTAAAGCTAAGCTACTTTTGTTCCACTTTCTTAAACAGAAACTGAGACTAAACTTGCACTAAACTAGAGTTAAGTAGCACTGTCCTCAGAACTCCCGTTACCAAGCCATGAAAATGAACTGAAAGAACAACATTACTTGGAGATTGATTTCACATGATGCCAGTTTCAGCATATCAATAAATCCCAACAGATGCAGATTACTTGGGTAACGGTTAATCGCGTTCCCCCCCGAGAAAGCTCGTACCCCCTAAGGAAGGCTCGTACCCCCTAAAGCAAGCGCGTACCCCCTAAAGAAGGCTCGTACCACCCAAAGCAAGCGCGTACCCCCCGACTAACGCGGAAAGAGACTCGCCTCCAATATTCCCTGTCTCCTCCCAGGCGGCCATCCTCTTCCTCGCACGGATGTCGCATATGCGTTCTCTATCACTTCTTCCCCCCCCCCCCTTTCCCCTCTCCCTCTGGTGTCCATGAGCCCACCAGGGCCATGTATGTAACGGATGGACGAAATGCATGAGTGTGAACATTATCACTCCAAATAGAGAATGCAATACACATAAATCAAGGTAAATCCCACTAAATCCATCCGATTACCCTAATACCCACACAGTTCAAGAGGATGACACAACATGACACATCTCTTTGGTCCCATGTACCCAAGGGATCATGTGGATCCTCAGCTGAGAGCAACCGTTACCGATTACTTGTGCATTCAGTTAGCTCCTGATTTGTTTCAGTTTATCTCTAGTTAATGGGAGACTCAATACACTGTTTGAAGCTGAACTTAAACAAAACTAATATAATAAAAATAACCTCAATTACATGAAACAATGAAGGGTCATATTTATGCAATTTCTTGTATACTTTCCTTAGTAGGGGGCAGTGGCTCAGGCAGCATTCGTGAAACTCAGGACACCGATCACCTGAGGCCAAATTTTTACTTAAAATCGGCAGATATGCTTTCTAAAAGTCTAATAAAGTCATCAGAGTACTTATCTCTGCCATTCAACATAGCACTGTTCAAGTTAACGTACTAAATAATGCAAGGCAAAGGTCCCGGAACAGTCTCACTCCAGTATAGTTTCAATATGGATGCCTCCATGTAACGCCAAACCTCAGCCGATCTTGCTGAAGTCGAGCGTCAGTACGATGAGAAGGGCAAAAGGTTGAACTTTAGGCCGAACATTAGGTTCAAAGATTTTCAGACGACATGAGTCGCAAGTCTGGGTTACTTTGCCATCTTAACGCCAACATGCCTGAAATAGGTCTAAAACTTCTTTCATTTGCAACATTCCTTGCGCTTCCAGCAGAAAAAGGGTTCTAAGCAGGTCTATTAACACCCCCCCTTAGTCAAAATTCACGTGCCACCAATGGACGCAGCCATACTAGTATGTCAGTAACGTCCGATCCCTACCCGACATCCAAGGATGAATCTGAAATCTGAGGCAAACTGGCATAGCAGAAAAAGGATTCTTATATACTTGGATATATCAAAATAAACCCACTCATCTGGGAATCTCAGCGCGCCTTTAGGAAGCCATGAAACTCTTAAAAATGTACACGAACTTTACGTTTCAGCGACGGATTACGGGCTTAAAGGGAATACCCTAGATATCGTCCATTTGGACTTCCCCGGAACTTTCGGTACCTTTCCTCACATTTCGCTATGGGCTAAATTGGAGGTGCATGAGATTCACGATAGGGTGTATAACTTGATTAGTAACTGTCGGGAAGTGAGCAGAGTGCAATAGTATTTGGAGAAAGTCGGATTCCCCCAGAGCGAGGTAAAACGACCGCTTCTATTTGTCATTTACATCAAAGAGTTATATCAAGACCATCCGAGTAAATTAAGCAAATTTTCTGCCAACATAAATATAGATTTCTCCATCGAGAGGGAGGAGGACAGAGCGAGAGCCGAGAGGAAGAGTAGAGTTTTTTTTTGGCTCATGAAATTTTATAAGGGTAAATGTAAGATTCCTTGCATCGACCATTTAAAAAAAAGATACGCCTCTGAATGCGTTTGGCGAGGATAGGCTGGAAGAGGCGAACAGAGAGAGACTTAGGGAACTGGATCAATGAGGAACTAGAGAGAGAGAGAGAGAGACTTAGGGAACACGATCGATGAGAAACTGAAGTTCTCGCACGCGCAGGCGACGGGAGCTACTTGTAACCGGATTTTGAGCTGCATCCGGCATTTTACTACCAATTAGAGCTCGCGCATTATTATGAATACAGCACTAGTAAGGCCACTAAAAAGTATTGTGTTCAATTTTTTATGCCTGCGAATAAAAGTGACTTGACGCCCCTGGAGAGGCTTCACAGCCGGGCTACTAAAATGATTTAAGGTGGTTCAAGGACTTCCCTATGAGACGCGCTTGGGAGCGTTGGAACGCCATTCGCTCGAGAGAAGGTTAACAAGGTTAACCTCATTCAGGCACTTAACATTATTATGAGAATCGATAACGCTGAGAGTGGGATGCCTTTCAAATTCGATGGAAACAGCAGAACGAGAGGGAACCCATTTAGATTTGCATAAGCCTCAAGTGAGACTCGGGTTACGGAATCGCTTCTTTGCTCGCAGGGTAATGAACGCGTGGAATGCATTAGGTGATAAATAAAGTCCCTGTCCTGCGTCCTGGCTAGTTTATAGATGATGTCTTCGTGAACGAGAGAAAAAAGGGGAGCAATATAATCGTAATGCTCCCCAAAAATAAAATAATCATCCTTATGAGGAGCAGTCATATCTTATTTAACCCTTTCGCCCCCAAGCTGAATTGTATCCCATTAGGAAGAGCCGATATATCGGCACCTTGGTATTCTAAGGGTAAAACAAATGCTCGACCTTGACATTGACCTCGACACAGATGTCGTAATGGGCAGGAATGCCTTCTATGAGCTGTTCTCTCTATTCCATCACGGAATGAGCTGGATCCCTTCAATTCAGTTTTGAATGTTATTGCCATGGAGAGAATTTCCTCATCTTTCTGTTGAAAATTTTATGCAAGCAGCTGCGCTCGAAGAAAAAACGAGGTGCGAGCAAGGATCGCTTTGCAAGGATGCCACAGCCTGCGTCTGTCTGCTTCAAAGCTATCCATCTTTTTTCTTCAGTTCAAAATTTCGAATGATATATATTCGCAGGTAATTCTTCCCAGGGAATTCCAAAAACAGTCTCGTTTCCTTGCTTTTGGGAGCGTTATCCTCACAAGAATTGCTTGGAGTTGCGCGAATTCATTTTCGAAGCACTACAGCTGCAACTCTAGCCCTGGAAGTCTCTTCATTTTACAGAAGGCTTCGTGTGACGTCAATGGTTACGTGGTCGTAAAACATCAATCATAGTGCATTATCGAATGACATATATCTCTTCCCTATCTTAAATCCCCCTTTCCACTTCAGCAGGCGCACATACGAGTATATTTCCTTTACACTTCTCCGCATGGTTAGGTTCAGACTTGCTTTAGATGGTGGTTTCGGATTTTCTTTTTTTTTTGTACATGGAGGTACGTTCGTGTGATATCTGACAAGATAGAACGTGCCGTATCTGGTGAAGTTAGGGACGATATCGCTCACAGCTGTCCTTTCTCATATGAATGCCACACCGAGGAAAGTAACGCCTGGAAATATAGATGATAAAGCATCGGACCAAAGAATGCTTGCACGAAAGAACAAAAGTAGGACTGAGTGTCTGTTCTTTCTTTTTAGGCTCCTGCATGACAGCGGGGGGTGGGGGGCACACGACCTTCCACTTTTTCAATTAAGGAGTAGGTCTCTCTAAGAAGACAAAATAAGAAGCAACGATACACAGAAAACTACTTGACATGATTCAGCTGGACCTTGGCTCTTTCCTTCATTAAAGATAATCCATGCCTGTCCGGAACTGATAAGTTTAAGCAAGAATGTCCGGATAAGAGAATTCAAAGCAGATTTTGAGGCACAAATCAACCCCTTTCATGGGTGGGATTGTAGTTCACAGCTACACTATTGCTTCTTTGGTGCCTCGATCCTCGATAAACCTCTCCCGTTTGTGTGATATCCACGTGTCCAGAATATTTATATTATTTCATGAAAATTTCTCCTCGACTCTTCCGAACCTATTTTTCTCGGAAAATGGCGTAAGGATTTTTTTTTGTTGTCGAGACTTGGAGTATTAAAAAAAAATACGATTGTTAGATATCCCATGAAAATGAACAAAATGGAAAACCCTAATTAAGTGATTCAAGTCAGTCCGAACTTGACCAGAATGAGCAATCAGTTAATCCGGACGAAAGAGTTGCGCAGAGATTTTGAGGCCAAAGACCGCAATGCGGCGCCACGAAGGCTGACACTCCAATCAATGTCCATGGATGTTGGGTAAGGCATGCGTCGCAGATCCCGGGCGCAATAATATGAACATGGATGAAGGGGAATCAACCCCTTTCACGGGTTGGAGTGCTATTCGCAGTACACTCGAAGCTTTCTCGAGATGTTATTTTTAGAATATATTTCCCAGTCCTTCACTACTTATGTCTAAGCTCAATGCATGAAAATTCCAGGTTCGGATTTCTCTGCACAGAGGCTCAGATATTCTTGCGCAGAATCGAACTTATTTGTTTCGCTCTCTTGCACATCGAACTCGATTCCCCTCGAGGATCACGGTCTCCAACATCTGGAATTGATGCCATCTGTAAGAGGAAAGTTTCAGCTTTTTACTGACATACGAGCAAAATTGTAACGTCTATTAAGTGGCAGTTGGAAAATGTAAAAAAAAAATCCTTTCCTGCAATTTGCACACGAGCCAGGTCCGGACCAGCTTGGTTTACTTTGCCAAGTAATGTTGCCAACTGTTTCTCAAGCCAGACCCGGAGATCTCATTTTTGGGGAACTAATGCGGTTATGTGGGGGTTCTTCCTGACGGGTAAAGAGGGGCAAAGGGGGGTGGGGTGCTGAGCGGAAGTGGTACAACTGCTACATTTCCTCTTTCCGGCTGCCTCTATTCTCCTTTCGTAAGACGTGACAGTTGTCGCCCAATTCCTTCTTTAGGACTTGGATGAGTGCGAGGTCTAAGGACTGGAGAACAGCCTGAGCTTGCTGTTTCACCGCCTTTGTGTTCCCGTTTCGAGTGAAACCGGGGGGATCCCGGTCTCCCGGCCGTCCTTCGACCTTAAAATCGGTAGTTTCCCAGTGAAATCGAGAGTTGGCAACCCTATTGTCAAGAAGGGCAGGTCGTTCTCAACGTGAACCCCACGATGCACCCCGTCGTAAAGGAAGTCCAGACACGTGAACGGAGCCGACCCCGCGGAGAGAGGGGTCACACGGACAGGATTTCCTCTTGCGCACTGCCTGAGAAAGTGGCAGGCCTGGGACGTAAAGCTCAAGTCACCGGGAATTTCGGGTTATCGCAGAAGCAGCGACCGCGAGTTATAGGGTGACATGCACCGAATCCGTTTAAGCTAAACTAATCTGATCTCACAATGGTTCCCTATGGGAATCAGTTTAACCGAAATAAACTTATTCCCATAGACGCCCATTATGAAAACGAATCAGTTTAAAGTTAAACGGATCTAGTGCATGTCACCCATAGTAGGCGTTTTATAGCATTTCACAGGAACTTGTCGTGGCGTCGTCTGTTGCACAATGCAGGGGGGTTCAGGGGGTTCAACCCCCTGCGACCCTTTAAGTCAAGTATGACAAATTGGAAATGAGGGAAATCTAACAAAATAGCCAATTCATGTTAATCTGAATTCACGGAACCAGCGATTTCGTCCGGATTATATTAACCCGACCACTCGTATTTCTTATTTCCTGGCAAAGAAAGCTGCATTTCCAGTGTGCTGCCAAATGCCCTCATTTATTCTTTTTTTTTTCTTTATGCGAATGGGAATCATTGACTCAGTGATTGAAAGAACCCGTCACATCGGAGTCCCTTTTTTCCCTTAGCTTTGATTCCCGCC